CTGATCTATATTCTCTCCAACTTTAGTTGAATCAAATGAGAACTAATCTTTTATCTTGTGACCGATATTATGTGTTTGTAATTTAGAATGGTGGCTGTGATGTTTGAAATGGTTTGACAATCTAAAGTGCAAAGTGGCATCTCACTTTTTCCCGCTAATAAAAGAAGAAAGTTATAATATGAAGAACAATGTCATCCTCAAAGATGAATTGATTGAATGTTGTGAGAATGAGATTAAGGTATGCTATGATGAAATTGCCAAGATGAAAGAAGAGCTTGAGATCTTTTTTCATTTTAGGATAAGATTGTATGAAATGGTTATTTTCATTTTAGGATTTTAGGATTAGTTATAATGTGTTTGGAATTGTTTCTTGTACATGGCATTGGTATAAAAGTGTGAATATGTGGGGACAAATTTATATGTATCATGTTCTCTTTTATGTAAATGAAATGAAATTTTAATATTTTGGTGCAGACGTGAGATTATATGCTTAAAAACATGCAAATGTGAGATTCTATGCACTCTAGATATATGAAACATGCAAATGTTAGTTTATATATCTGCAAACATGCGAAAAGAGATTATATACACTCCAAAACACGTACAATGAGCGAGTAAACCAAACCTGTTACTGGGTATATAACTATACTAGAACCAAACATGTAAACATGCACAAATCCAGACATGTGTAATCTTCTATAGCACTTACAAAAGCAAACACATTCAATATCTCAAACTAATTTCATTCGTCTAAAATCATATTGGAATTTAATCAAAATTATTACTTCAATCTGCATAAAAATAGATGTCTATAAAACATAGAAAAAAATGAAAATATCTCAAAAATCTAACCAATTTCATAATGCCCCAAAATTATTTTCACAAAACCCTAATTTTCTCTAAAACAAATTCTAATCTTGTGCTTTTTAACACCATTATACACAAAATCAAGGTTCCAATTAGAATTAAGAATAATGCAACTTAACCCCGGCCCATCTTCAGCTACATAACCACATATCAGCAGCGAATCAAACCTTTCGGACAGCCGGTTTGAAAAATGTTTTACTTTAGAGGAATCATCAACATATTATTCTTTTGTTCTCACCCTTAAAAGAGAACTCCGCATCCCCACACTCCCCCCCGCCCCCCCCCAGTTTTGAAACTTTAGGGGAAGTGAAAAAGTATTTGGCTATTTTTAGGGGTTTGGGGCAGTTAAAACTTGCCATAAGAGTGCAATGTTACTAGTTCCTACCACACCAGCTTATAATTAACTTGAAAAAAACCCACACGTGACTTGCATGTGTCCAGTTCAGATCGTGTTTTGGCCGGTGACAAGAAAATATATTAATTTGACGCACAGGTCCTATTAAAAATGCCTATTTATCGCGAGAGTTTTAAAATTACCATTCTGTCACTAATTGGGATATAAATATACCAATTTGTTAATTTCGCGCTTCAATTTATGATCAACATGAACTTGTTAGCTAAGAACATCACATTAGTCTAAGAACAAACTTTATTGCATAATAGGGGGAAAAGAAAAAGAGTTTATGGGATATTGGTTTTCATTATTTGTATATAAGTCCCCAAAATCATTATTTTTGAATACAAGTGTCCCTAAATTTACATATTTGGCTGTAAATTTCCCAAATTATCATATTTGGATATGAGTCTCCCAAACTGTTAATTTCTTTGAAGTACGTGCTAGCTCCCATGATTACTTTTCATCCACATAAAAATTACTTGGAATTGTTAATTTTCTGGTTTCAGTTTTTCCCTTCGTTAGCAAACTACCCTCATGCAAAGGCAAAAAAAATTAAGCCAATGTATCCTTTAAACCCATCCAAACTTACAGAAATCCCTGTACTTAGGAGTTAATTTCTAACAACTTCTTAATTTTGATGAGTTAAATGGATGAGAAATAACCACGAGGATACTTGTTTCTAGGGTAGATAGTGACCTAATGCCTGACACTACCATTGCTAGAGAATTCTTAAAAGGACCTTTTTTGAATTAATATTAGCTAAATTGATCTTGTTATAGTAAACTTAGCAAAATCGACCGTATTTTGCTATCTTAGCAGAAAACAATCAATTTTGCTGAAAAAATGTTTGGAAATTATACAATACAACTAGTTACGTATAATTAGCTAGAACACACTAATATTCATCAATGGTGCAGCACTAGAGAACATATTGGTTCCTAAATAGTGGCTAATCACAGAGGGTCTAGTAGTCCCGTGTAAATGAAAACTTCTGTTTTGCAAAATCGATCTCATTTTGGCTAGCAGACCAAAATAAGGTCGATTTTGCTAATTTTATTATCAAACAGTCAATTATGCTTAAATTATTTTCATAAAGGTTTATTTTAAAAATTTATCCTTCTTAAAATTGAACAATTCACATAAAGAAATTGTACAATAGTTGAAGCATAAATTTCACAAAATTCCCTTAAGTTTGGTAGTCATTTAGATAACTCAGCCTAAGTTTAATAATGTCACTTAATCTTTATTACGTTTGATTAACTCCCCTAAAATTTAAAAATGTCATTTAATTCATCTTATGTTTTGTCAAATACTTTCACATTAAACCTTTAATTTAGAGTGATAGTTTTAATTAATTTAATTTTATAATTGTAGCCATTGAAATGCTTTAACCATTACCCAGTGAGATTTAACCTGGAGTTGCTTTTATACTATGTCAATGTCTCATCTAACCATTACACTAGAACTCTGAAATTGTAGTGATGATTGTAGGTTATATTTTTATATTCTGACAATAGTACTAAATTGAAAAGTGGTCTTTTTACCACTTCAATTTTCACTATTAGGGGTTAGGTTTAACTTATATTTTTAAAATCAAGGGGGTTTATATCAAAATGAGCCAAATTTAATGAGGATTAGCCGTGACATTTTTAAGGTTAGAGGGTTATCTCAAAACGGCATTAATGAAGTGGGCTTTTGAGAATTTACTCATACTTTTGTATACGCATAAATAATTTCGGCTATGAAAATAAATAAAGCAAATAAGCCTTCTACATGTGCTCGCCTATCATTAGAAAGTCAAAATTTATTTTGGCAACCCTACCCTAACCGCCCCGTGGAATCATGAATCTGATATTTATATATATAGGGATCCATTCCCAATAGGACCGGGTCTCTGCCCACTTGCACTGCAAAGAAATAAAAACATCACCTCTTCCGAGCTAGAATTCTCTCAGAATACGTCTCCTGATTACTCCTAGCCCACTTGTTTAATCAAACTATTCCTCAAGTACCTTTCTTTGTTTTTTGTGTGGATAAACTTCAAGATAACAATTAAGAATCAAATTAGACTAGAATCAAATTAGACTAAGTAGCACTTACATTCCCTATTGTTTCACCGACTTACGTACCTCAGCTTGTATTTTGATAGCAAAAAAACATCCTAAATTTTTTTAAACATACAGTTATATGCCCTCGACTTTTAGACAGCACTCAAATATCCTAAAAGCTTTTACAACTAGTGTTGGTCTCAGGCGTGGAGACCCAAACCTGAAATAAAACAAACGAAGAAAACAAGAAAACATGGGTTGGTCGACCGACGGACCCGGTCCGGTCGACTGCGACGTCTGTAGGAAAACAACCAGAAAACTACTCTCTGGTCGGTCGACCGCGGGAGCAATGCTGGTCGACCGAAAACATGCACGACAACCCTGTAGGAAGTTGTCGCTTTGACCGGTCGACCGACTAGCATAGTCCATTCGACCGAAGTTAGTTTTTTACAGTTTCCTAATTCGTTTTGGAAATTGTTTTGGGCTGGGATCCTATATATACCTAAAACATTTTTAGGGTTTGTACAACACCTGAAAAAGAGGGTTTTGAGATGATTCTTTCAGAGAGATCTCAGAGAGATAAAAATCTATTTGTGGGCATTGTAATCTTCTTCAAATTAATCAATGAATTGTGTAGTGTTGCTCCCGAGGATGTAGGCACGTTGCCGAACCTCGTTAAATCTGGCGTGTTCCTTCTTGTTTATCTTTTCTGCTATTTTTCTTTTATTTGCGGTGAATTTCCTACTTGCTAAACTCTTAGCACCAGATCAGGAAGGGCACGTGTTCGGTTGATTGTTTCGAATCCCCAACAACTAGCACTTAAATAACTTGATATTTTTAAAACTTGCACATAAATATCCTAAATTATGCAAACTTGAGGGTATTTAAGTGTAAGTTTTAAATTTTTTAGGGTATTTGAATTCTATTAAAAATATGTGCAAGTTGAAAAATTTTAAAATATTTTCTCGCTGCTAAATACAAATGAGGGTATATAAATGGAAAGTAGATGAAATAATAGGGTATAGGCGGGGTGGTCCGACTACGCTGCGCACGGGATCAGTAAGATTTACAAACATGAAAGTTTGCTCGCAGCACGCACCATCGAGATTCTTGATAAGAACAAATTCCTCAAGCACAAGATGGGCAACGGCATGATTTGCTAATCCTTGCGGCGCCATATACGTTGAAACGAGCCCATCTTGAAATTTGCGATATTATCTAATTTCTCAATTTCATATAATTGATCATCCATTCTTACCCAATCGAAAGTATCACACGTAAAATAGGGTGTTCTCTTCCTTCTTTTATGCTTCTTATATTTGTGTAACTCGTTGCAAGTAATTTATAGATTGGGAAAAGAGTGAAGAGGAACGATTCTTGTATTTGGGCCCACAAATCCGACGAAACACGGTCCCTCTTCATCGATATTCCATCACAGGAAATTGACAGAGAAGAACACCGAAGTGGGACCGACGACGCCGGATATTCCTCTAGAAGCCAAGGATGACGCTAACCACCGGCGAGAATTCTGAGATGCAG